GTCAGAGTGCTGTGATCTTGAGATTTTTTTCATTAAGGCTTATATGGGCCTATTTTAAACACATAGATGGTACCAGTTTTCTAAAACATTTTTAAAAATATGTTTAATTCATATTGCACCACCCCTTGTGGAAGTGGGCTTTCTATTTGGTTTATAAGCCATTAATAAACTCAATTCAGTGTTTCCCTACAATGTAACAGTTTAACTGAAGAAATTTTAGTTTAATTGACACAGCACTTGTGTAAACAAGTCTGCAGGCTTGAACCCAAGTGTGATTAACACTGGGGATAAGCCATATGCTAGGTTAGGACTGTCTGACTTCAGTGGCTGGGGGCTGCATGCTATACAGATTGCAGGCCTGGGGCTGCTTACTGGGCAAGCTGCATGCTGTGGGGGCTGCATAGACTCCCTTGCAGTGCTGCCACGTGAACTCCTTACCATTGCTGCTGTGAGCCTCCTCACTGCCGCCACCACATAGGTGAGCCCCCCCCCACCCCAGCTGTTAACACTGCACAGGTGGTACTCCACCAGTGCCATGCAAGTAGCACAAGCTCCCTGCACTCAAGTCCCTCTGCTGGCATTGTTATACATCAGCAAACTCACCAGGCCTCTGGCCATGCTGCCTTGTGCCAGGGACACAGGCCACCACCACCACATCTGCCACAGTAACAGGGCAGTAGCAGCTCAGCAGGAGCTTACTGTCTGCACTTTACCCTGTAGGCTGCATCTGAGCCCTCTGCTAAGTAAAAGGGGCACTGCGGCATGAGGAGTCTCTAGAAGCTTTTCGGCTGCCTACAGAAAAATTGCCTTCCCGTTCCAGCATCAGTGCAATCTCTCTCAGTTGTTTTGAGGACATTTGCAAACCTTGGTTTAGGAGGAAGCATGTTGAGAGGAGGAGGGTATCTTCAGCAGACAGCCTGGCCTGTGGAATAGCCTAGAATCAGGCATACACAAAGGTGGCTTATGGCCACCTTCCCCCAATCCTCCCACCTAGCCCGTGACTTGCACGCACACCTCTTTTAGCAGCACAGTAAAAGATTTCACTTTTAGTAAAAGATGGGGTTTTTTTCCCCCTTATTTTTTAACCAGATTTGT